GAGAGAGAGAGAGAGAGAGAGAGAGAGAGAGAGAGAGAGAGAGAGCATCTGCCTTATGGAGAACGGGTGTGCGATAAGTCTCTCAGGTTTACCAGAGCAAGTAATAGTGAACATCTTGTTGTGTCACAAAGAGTGTGGAGGCCATGATTAGCTAAGGGCTGCAATGGGCAGGCACTTGCTGACATAGTCCACTCATAAAAAGTTTTGGACTCTGCCTAATCAGAGAGCAAAAAATAGGATTTGGCAGCTTAGGGCAGATGCTCACACGAGAACCTTTTCAACTGAGCTCTGGACATGATTACAGTCAGATGCATCCCTGTCTGGCCGTCATTCCAGTCAGAACATTTTAGGAAAGTGCCAGTGTGAGTATGCCCTTAACCATGACCGTGGTCGGAGGAAAACGAAAGGGCAAGCAGGAAACACATTTAGTGAAGAAATGGGATTGAAAAAAAAAAGGAAAAAGGGAAATGTGTGTTTAGAAAAAAAAAAGGAAGGCCATACACACATTGGACAAATCATGATGAACGAGAAATGGTGGTGAAAAAAAAAAAGAGGAAATGGAGGGCCTAAAAAAAAGGGAAAGAGGGGGCTGTAAAAGCGGTAGTAGTGTGGATGAGACAGGGTAATACTTTTCTATAGGAATAGATAAGGCAGGGCAAGATATGAGTTGCACCTAGACTGAAAGTTGCACCAAATGCAACAGCCAGCTATTCGAATGGAAGAAGTATCATCCAGTCTAATAGAATGAAAGCTGTATCTAGGCTGAAGGTTTCACCGATTGCAACATCCGTCTTCCCCTTAATAGAATGATGGTCATTCAGGCTGTATCTAGACTGAAAGTTGCACCGAATGCAACGGAAATGGCCGTACCTTCTATTCGCAGGAAGAGGGTATCTGGCAGTTTTGGTCGGAAGGCGGTAACAAGTGGATGGTAGGTTCACAATTACTTCCGAACTTATGGGCCACGTTCATAGCATGAACCCAGACGACCTTATGGGCCACGTTCATGCTGTCTACCATACAACCAATTGTGTGTAAAAAGGAGTAAAGGAAAGTTAGGAAACACATATGAGTGCAGTGAACCTGAGGGCCAAAGAGCCATGCTGCATGGTAGACAGCGTGAACGTGGCCCATAAGTCGGTCTGGGTGGATGCTAACTTTGCACAACTATAGTGCTGTTGAGTCCAACACCAGAGATCTATGTACGGTGGAGAGCAGAACAGGGTGGGCACTGACGTGGGCGGCCGTCAACTGCCAAACACTGCAGGACTTGTGGGTTTCAAAATGAGAATATGACCCCCCTATATTGCACCCTTTGCAGCCCATGTTTTTTTTAATGTTTTTTTTTAAATAATTTTTTTTGCAGCCCATGTTGTTGTTACACAAAAATTGAATTATGTGTATCTGATATTAAAAAAAATCAAACTGTGAAAGTTTATATTGTAATGAACCCAGAGTGGAAGATACTCATCAGACGTCGAAGTACAAGTGGTCTCAGATCTGCACAATGTCTCCAGTTAACGTGAAAGTGACATCTGATACAACAACTCGTTACCAATCGACGAAGAGAGTGGAGGGGCAATAGACAGAGGAGAGGGTGGAAGAGAAGCAAGCAACACAATCAATTCCCACTTCTTCTCTGGGCTTCCTCTCCTTCCACGTCATCAATCAATAAACAGTAACAACTCTGATAAGTCCTGATCACTTAGAAGTGCCACGTGGCACTAATCTCCCATGGGAACAATGAAGACAACCAGCAGCATGCAATATCGACGTCAGCCTCAGGTAAGTACCCTGTCCTTCAATCATCCACAGATCCCGCTCTCCCTCCTTGTCGCAACCAGTCACCTCATGTAGACAGCGTGGCCTATGCCATGTCAGCAATAGAGACAGGTGGCATGTGCCACATCAACAATGAAGACAGGTGGCAGAGCTGCAATGACTTGCTGTTTTCTGGTCGCCTGGAGCCTCTCTCTGTCAAGGCTGTACTATAGGTAGGACAGATTCGTAATTTTGTTTGGCTGAGGGCTAACCGAGTGACCTGCCTGTAAGGAAACTTCGTGAGGGACATATCTGTAAATACGGGAAAATACAGGCCCGTACTAACTGAATTTCCTACAGCTGACCTAACTGTGAATAGCAGGCCCGGGCTACCCCTAGGACAGACAGGCCCTACAGGCCTATGCTGATAGACGGTCCTATAGCCTATAGCCGGGTAAGGTAGAGGCCGAGAGGCCGAAACTGAATTGGTACCGGTCAGTCAGTCAGTCCGGTCTAGGTCGAGTCTAGGCTAGTTTAGTCTATAGATAGGATGGGCACATCGGTTCAGGGTGTTTGGCAGTTGGTACGGAGTCCATCGCTGCTGCGCTACGTGTGAACCAGAAGTGGTGACGGCTCAGCGTGGAAGGAGACAGGCATAGCCAGACCTTCGGAGCGCCGGCCATAGCTGGGACCTGCGCTGTACTCTGCCAGCACGTAGGGGCTGTCAGAGGTCTGGGTTATCGAGGCCTGCTGGAGGCGAGGAAAGTTGGTGCCCTGCTGGACCCTCCTCCGGAGTGGGGTTCCAGGGTTGTGGTGCTGCAGCCATAGCTGCAGCTTCTTCCTCAGAGGTCATCTGGTCAGGATTGGGCGGCACTGCTGCAGACTTCCATCCGGGAAGAGTCTTCTGACACTTCGTCATCTCCAGATACTGCGGCGCTGTTCTTCTTCATCGTCTGAGTGGCGCTTGGCCTCAGAGGCCTGTTTCAGGGTGGCGCTACCCCTTGGAGGCTGTATCTGGGTGGCGCTTGATGTTTCAGGGGCTCAGGGGTGTCACGGGTGGTTACTCGGGGTTGGGGAGTGAAGCGCCGCTCATTTTTTAGCAGCGCCCTGTAGGTCTGAAGTTATTCTGACAATTTGAGACTCTGAGTTTAAACCACAGGTACCCCCGCCACCGAAAACCCCAGTCCCTGTGAGTTAGGGCCGGGTTGTACGGAGGGGCGGCGACCGTACGGAGGCGCCGGGTTGTACGGAGGCCGACGGGTCCAATCCGGCCATTTTGCAAGCGGCAACTTTGCCGATTTTTTGTGCTCAGAAGGAGTCGTGAAAATATCTGAAAATTGAGGGTCCGTAGATTAGGTCGTGATCTTTCAGGGAAAAATATCAGAAAAATAAGATACAATCATTTTGACGGTGAAATATTCGCCGCGCCGATTCGGTTTATTTCCATTTTTTGTCCCAAATTTCGTACGGAGGCCCGCCCGGTTTTCCACGCTGTACGACCGGTACCCGTCGTGAAACGGCGATACCGGTACCCCGAGGTTTTTGACGTCAGGGAGACCTGTGGTTTAATAAACAGTTAATACTGGGTTTGGACTATCATCGTTTCATTGTTTCCTGGATGTGATCTACTCGGCTTTTCTTTATGACTGGCTGTGTGGATTGAGTGGAGTGAATTGCACTTTCAGT